AAACGTTTTATTCCTGCTCAGACTGACGGAGGATCTGTTTTTACTCTAATATTGGTTGTTCTGAATCCAAGTAATTTTCAAGTGACGAAAAAACAACGACAACAACAACAACAACAAAAAAAGCCTTTACAAGGAGCAAACGCCACACCTCGTGTATTTCATTCAGTCTCAGTCAGAACTCTCACAGAACGAGACAAACAAACGCAGGCGATAAGGGATGCGCAGACTTGCGCAGAACGTTTTTCCGCCCTGAAAGACCAACATTGACGTCACGTAGTCTCCAGTCTATGGCGCGGCCATTTCAGAACCGTTTTCGTGAAGTTTTCGGAAATGCTCGGATTTTGATCTTTTATCTTTCTATAAAGGCTTGGGAAGAAAAATCTTTACCCAAATCTCACTTAGGGTGGTTCTTTTTAGTGTTTGGTGAAGGTAAAGCGACAAAAGAAAATATGTCAATTTTTTGGTTCATTTGACCTTTAAAATTTCAGGGTCGGCCAGCGGGGGTAGTGGTATACCAGTATACCCGAAAAAAATTCGCCAAAATACCCAAAAATACCCAAAATTCATCCAAATATACCCAGGTATATTTTCAGGTATACCTTATACCTGAAATTTAAAGAAAGTGATATACCGAATAGCCGTATTTAAGCTGCAATATACCGTATACCCGATTTAAAAAGCCCCTTTGAAATGAAGACCGAAAAAGATAGCAAGGATGGAATAATGAAATTTTTTCAAACCAGGGAGAAGAAGAAGAGGAAAAACTCAGTCTTCGGGACATAAACATTGATGATTTTAACAGTGATTAAGATTTTTTCATCCTGGAAGGCCACAAAACATTTGTTTGGATGTTTACGTTTAGCTCCTGGAAGAAAGCGATCGGGAAGTTCTCACTTTCAATTAATAAGATTGGGCTTACGAAGGTGTAACACCCAACCATGCTGTATTTTGTGGACAGAATATAACCTTGATAGTATCAAAGGTAGGCAAATGTGGTATGAAAATAATCCTCAGTAAATTTGCGTTAGATTTAGACTCCAGCAGTAATTTTCATGACCAAATTGGAAGGTCAGTACACTGAAAACAATTAAGGTGAACTTGTTAATTATTATTTATTAGTTACTTATCAATAAAAAGTGGCTTGGCAGATAGCCCAAAGTCACTTGTCTACCAGATGTCCAAAGTTTATGTTGATACCTTAAATTTCAAGGAAGATGCAGTGCATTTAACAATACCAGCCTTAGATCTTAAAACGTACAAAAAATAAATTCAGGTCTTAAAGGGTTAAAACAAGATAGAGTATTTGTCTGAAATACTTGGTAGGTATGGGGGCTTCTCCTCCATAAAAATACTCGTGTTCGTGACACGGTGGTTACGCAATCTTCGTGCCGTGTAGAGGCAAAGCTCTTAAGGTCAGATAACTTCCTTTGCGATTAAGTGCAGGAGTCGTGTGTCGCCTGACGCCAATTTGTAAACCAAGTTTAGGAAGGAGAGGGAAATTGACCTAAAAAGTAAGGAGGATCGGCGAGAAATTGGCTGACAGAGATGATCCCCTCCTTCTGGTCACTATTACTGTCTCTTACCAAAGTTATCCAAAGACATGCTTTGTTAACTGAATCCATGCGTTCTGGCGACTCAGCAACAGCGCCTAAAACACCAATTAACAAATAGGTTTAACTTAAACGGGGAGTTAAGTTACCAAAACATTTCAAATCAAAGAAAGCCTATCGTCAGCTCGTGGGAACGTTGTTTAGAAAATGATCAAATGGTTATCAACTCTGGTTTTCCCACAGTAAATTGTAGGAAATAATAGAAATTCAGATTGTTTATCCATGTACAATATATTTAATATACTATCTTTGTTTATTGCACGTTATTAAATAACAGTTATTTAGGTACATATTTATAGAAAAACAACAAAACAAATAAGCAGACAAAACAAGCCAAAAACGGGAAAGAAAGAAAGAAAGAAGATAAAAAAAAAATTGGTACAAAGGAGGACTTAAGCCCGGAACCTTCGGCTATATGCGACCTTACTTTACCACTACACCACGAAGGCTGATTACGTTACTCTGGCGAAAACTCTTTAACTTAATGCGCTATCCATAGAACTTCCGCCAGCAAATTCGTTCAGTATGATCGAGCCGCATTAACCGAGCTATTGACAGTAAGAAAACAATGTCAACGCATTTCATGGCAACGAATGAATAAAATAACATGTGCTTTACAAAGCCGATACACCTCGTCAGCGAAGTAGGAGGCAAAACATATGTTTCCTTATCTCGATTTCTGGTGTTATTTTAAAGCTAATGGTCAAAATCACATCCATTTTCGGCCCATACAGGTTCTTAAGAATTGCATGGCATGACATTTTTTTACTTTCAGATGACTTTCCAGCAAGCTGGAATTTGTATATCCCCCGTGATCATTCGGAGTCAGAGGAGTAATTGCTCAATTTCTGGTCAAGTTTAACGCTTGGACGAGTCAAAGGCTTTTGAAATCCAATCCCCAAGTTAACCATCGTACTTATTTGAAAGACTCCTACGTGTCTTAAATTTGGTAAGACCTCTAACCGTGCTGTAGAAAATTTGCCATAAAGAAAACTCTGAGTCTGAGCAGCGAACGCCGAACGATGCACGCTCTCAGCGAAGAATTTGATCCCACCGAACTTCGGAGAGCGCGTGCTTCTTCGGAAGCGATAGATCTTCGCACTCTCGAGTTCGAACCCGATTAATTACGAAGTCCGTCTACTACGAGTGAGCGAGTGACTCATTTGCATATCTCTGTCCCTGCAATAACTCGTAGTACGCTCGCGCGTCCCCACGAGTTAAAAACGATATTGAATTTTCAACAAGTCTATCTCGATTTAATTAAACTCAAAAGCCAGTAAAAAGCTTGTTCGAAAACGGCTTGTCAAACGACCGATACACCGGATTAATTCACAAATGGATACTCCTTCCGCTGGAAGATCAGCCCTCTTCTAGTCGCAAACTCCCGAGAGCTCGGTGAGAGACGTCTGGATCAACAGTAGCAAAATCAGTTTCTTTTTACTTAACAGTATTGCAAACAACTGTATCTTGACAACTTTGATGATGGAACCTGTTAATATAAACGATTATGATCGACCGCACGCAAACGAACAAGAAAGCTCTCTGATATACGTATAGAGACGGTGCGGGCATCCAGGCTCTGATGTTAATACGCTTAAATTAATAGTTTGCAAAGCAAAATACTAAATCAAGGACGGATTTTAAGGCGTTTGTAATTTCCTCACCTGCTCCGTAAGAAAAAACACGTTTAGCAAATCTATGAAGCTTAATTTTCCGCCATACTGCTGGCTACCATATCGCCTCTCAGGCAAAATTCTTACGAATTTGGCCACACCTCGTTGCCTTACCATTTGATTACACATACTTAAAATTCAGCTGGCGTAATCTACAAGGACAAATATATGGGAGGCCATATCATTCAAAAGTGATACGAATGCTTGATTGCTGATCAAGATCACGATCGCTATGATTGAGTTTTTCGATCGGTGGTTGAGAATGAAGATCTTTATGGTTGAGATTATCGATTGATTAATGAGAACCACGATCGCTATTATCTAAACAGGGTTTGTATACAAGAAACACAATCGCTGTGATCGAAAGAAAGATCGGTAATGAGCTCTGAAGATCTATTTATTTATTTTATTTTATTTATTTATTTAGTCTCTCACAAAACCCTATACAAACTTGAAGCTTATATGAGTAGGCTTCCTTCAACTACCTAATGAACTAAATTTATGGCTGAGTGCAGAGTGAGCAAGATCAGAAAATTAAGCGACAGATTGGCTATCAGTGAGATAATTCTTTAATTTTTTTCAAAAAACAAATATAGAAGGAGAGCTAATTAGTGAAATAGGCAATGAATTCCAGATTTTAGGTCCTCGGTAAAGGATACTGAATTTAGCTTTATTTTGTTCTACAAGAATGAGGTCTATACTGATCGAGAGGCTAGTCAAATTTCGTATTGATGGACTTGATTATTACTTAAGAATAAGTCACGAAAGCTACTAGGCAAAAGATTATGGTGATAAGAATACATAAAAGTAGCGACAGAAAATGAATTAATACTAAATATGTCAAGGACTTTGAGCTGGCTAAATATAGGGGCGGTATTTGCTAGATAGTGAGCTTTTGTTATGAGCCGCACTAGACGCTTTTGCAAAAGGTAACTACAGTTTAGGTTGGAACAGTAGGTGGAGGACCAGGCGACAATACAGTATGTTAAGAAAGGATATTCAAGGGAGTAATACAAGGTCATCAAAGTTTGGGATGATAGGTAAAAGCGGGCTTTCGCAATTTATTTCCACATAGCCTGTGTACAGACGTCCCCCCTCCCTCAGAAAAAATATCTTCTCCCGATTTTTTTTCTGAGGGAGGGGGGACGTCTGTACACAGGCTATTCCCACACTATTCGAGATTTTTTTGAGACGAAATCAATGTGTGGTTTCCAAGAGAGATGCTGATCAATGAGAACACCTAAAATTTTTGTCTCCGTGACTTGCTTGGCACAGTATTTTCCAGAGTAAGAGGGACAATAACATTGACTTTCTTTTGCCTTGGATGAAAAATCATAAAATTTGTTTTAGTCAAATTTAGAGATAACTTATTCACTTTAAGGCAAATAATTATCTTTGCAAGTTCATTGTTAACAATAGAAACGAGGTGGTTGGCATCTTTATGGGAACCAAAGATACTTGTGACACTTGTGTCATCAGAAAACAGTAAAGATTGAGTGAGATTAGAGACATTAGGAAGATCATTAATGTAAATAATAAACATCTAAAGGACTGGAAAGAAGAAGTGTCGATTAGGGATCCAGAATGTCAAATGCAACGATTGAAATTATCGATTTTGGCGGTGACAATCAAAGAGAACTGGAAACAAGTGGGGATACATCATGTTCTTTACATCAAGTAGAATGTAAAGACTGACAGTGAGCTATTAAATAAGATGATGGCCACCGACGGACATACTGAAGATATTAACGAACTTCTTTCCTCCTTGGGACATTGTTTCGAGGAAGCCGATAAGGCTTTAAAAGATGAATGCAATTCTGTCCCTCTGGATCATACAGAAAGGGGACTCGAGGACCACCTTCAAATTGTCAATGCAATTGCAATTGCTATACAAGATTACGGCGGTGATGAATTAAAGCAGCTTGTTTCAAACCTACAGATGTTTTCTCAAAGCTTGCTTTACACGAACACGACCAAACTTTTTAATAGTCTTCATGGCTCCTATGCCCGAGCTAACCATATTACAGGGATCTCTTAGACATGAAAATCCCAGCAAAGTTTTTCACCCCTATCCTTAGGAACTTATGTGTGCTAGTTTGTGATATAGGTTGATTTAATGACCCTTTCGGTTTACCCGAAATTAACATACAGTTCAGAAGTCTAGGGGGCATACCAGACAATTTTGACTTCAGGAAATGGTAAAGAAACACCCCAGCTACCCCCAGCTCCTGTGCCAGAGAAATAATACGTTCATTCAAAAGCCATAGCGGTGATTGAGTTTCGGGCCATGTTTCCCGCCTTTTATCAAATGCTTGCGGCGCCCTCGCTTTCGATTCAGGGAGGTTCGCTAGTTGAATCGCAGTCATTTAACGAGCTGCGAGATTGTCGAAACCATAAGAGAGTTTTCTTAAAACGGCGTAGAAAAGTGAACACTCAGACTCTGGAAACTGGAACAGAATAGCTTCGTAACTTGCCACTAAAGACAATTGTACTGAGCTGCTTCAATGGGAAGGGTAACTAATAGTTCCCAAGTTCACATCATGAAAACGTAGACTCTGCTCGCAAGATGTATAGCGGCAAATTTTAGTATTTTAGTACATTTTTTGTAAATGGTAATTCAAACAAACAGTGTTATTGCTGTTGTTTTTGCGGCCTGCTCTACTGAGGAAGGCTGTCTGTGTAATGTGCATGCTACGAGGAAATTCAGATAGGATAATCAGAGATGGCTATCATACAAATGCTTATAAAATGTTTAAGGCGATCTATCAAAAGCGGCAGTGCTATAAAAGTTTGCATCTGTTCGGTCATTCAAAGCCGGCCTTAAGAAGTTGTTAATTTCTTGGGCGGCTTTCCGAATTTTTCCTGAAAATCTCAGACTCAGATCAAACATTGTACTTCGCAGCCATGAACTGGACTTAACAACATTTTGAGTCGACCTAAATTGTTAGTTCGCCTGTTTGGTCAAAGCCCTTATTAGCTAGAAGAAGCCGAACTTTAAAAAAAGAAATCTCAGAAACTGCATTAAGTAATAATAAGCCGACTCTTGTTAAATACGGTGTTTGATCCAGTTTTAAAGTCCCTTGTATTCGTAATTTCGGCTGATTTCGCCCCAGGAATCCAGGACCGTATTTGACGCAGGATTGTATTTGGATCCGCTAAGGCGTTTTTTATAGCGCCAATTCCAGCCGTGAACAGCGCCTCAGCTGATCCAAAAGCAATCAGCTTTGCCTTTCAGCGCTGATGTGACTTCACCGGTTGAAAAGCCAAACATGGAGTCAGTTGAGTTCGGCTCATTAACGGTGTTTGAGCCGGCCCTTTGATGTTTACGAATTCAAGTGATTTCTGATAGACATAATAGCTCTTTCCATCACTATTTTTGGTGCTGGTCAATAGGCAAAAGGATAAGAACTGAGGATTTTGTAATGTCCGTGTAACTACCATTTTTTATTTGTATAACTTTTAAAACAAAAGTGAAATAAAAATTTATGATCAAGGTGAGCAAATACAGAAATAAATATTGGATCCAAAGAAGCGAATTTCCATACTTTTAAAATGAGGAAAGAATACCTTAATCTTGGTCAATGATACGAAAATTTTAGATTTGCAAAACGTACAGTTCGACTTTCGACACGTTTCACGTCATTATTGCCTCTTGCTGCTGGTGAGGACATCTGCGGTCTACTGCATTCAATAAAATAACAACGATCACTTAGATTAAGCTTTAATCAGCCATTATCGTCTTTAATATAAAAAGTTCTTCATTTTCTGTTGACTAGAATGAACAAACTCGACCGCGATTCAATCGCGTGCCCAGAGTCTTTTGGTGACCAAAAGGCCGGAACTGGGCTCTGGGTACGGCATTGACCGCGGTTTCTTGTATTTGCAGATTTTATCAGTTGTTTGCCCCCACTCCTCCCTCCCCCATGAGAAACCACGTGACATTGCTTTTATCCTGTCAGTCCTTAAGCGCGTGCAAAGATGGCTGCCATATTGGCCTGGTCCGGGTTGTTAAAACGTTGTTTAGCGCTATCCACCAGATAAATCACTATCCAGCCGATAAGTATTAGGGAAACCAATTGCGCTATCCACTCCACTGGATAAAGATTTATCCAGTGGATAGCGTTATCCACCTTTTGAACAACTGGGGCCAGGTCAAGAACAAAAGAATTCCTCTCCACTGGGGAACTAAACTCAATTTTCGGGTAAATTCTTCGAAAAAACCTTATTGTATTGAAAACCGAAATGGCCGCTTTCACGTGGTTGCAAACCAAGAATAGGACAAATATAGCTAATATTATCATACTTTTTTACAAAAGAGTAATTATTGTTATTATGGCATTGCATATTGTATAACCAGAAGCACAGGTTATATGCTTCTTGTATAACTAAACTTGTTATCTATTAATTTTCCTATTCCCTTATTAAGTTCTATTAGTTAAATACATCGAAATTTTTTTAAAAAATTATTATTATGTTATGTTATTTTTAGTGCGCACGGTATATTGTACAAAGGTGTACATTTGTCTAAATTTTGGAATAAGTTCAGTTTAGCTTTTTTAGGAATAAGCATGCAAAAGCATACGCTAACATGAAAATTTTGATTGTTATAGTTCATTTCTTTAATGCCGAAGGGCAAAGCATAAGTTGTTACACTACTGTACTCCAGGAGCCAGTCTACTTGCATTAATAAAAGTTAGTAATTTTATACATGACTTGTTGTACGATGGAAGTTCAGTTCGTCTAATATTGAACTTGAATAGTTTTCTCACTTCACCCTCCACACAAGTGAAAAAAAAAAACGATTATCTGCCTGAAAGAATGCATGTAAGCAAGAGAGGATAAAGGGGACAGAGAAGGTATCCCCCATACACACCCTATTCCATAGGTAATTCGTCTCGAGTTATTTTTAGAATCGGGATAAAGTTACCTCGCGCGCTGCGTGGGTGTTTCGTGGAGGTTTCACATGACTAAACGCCGTGCAAAACATGTCGGGCGAAAGGCAATGAAAGCGTAAAGAGATCGAAAGCATTCTTGAATATCGGAGCGAAATAAGTTGGCGCTCACCTGGGAAAAGGGAATCGCTGAACTCTTTGACAACCCGTGACATCAGTTTAGCTCGAAGTTGCCGTAACCTCAGTGCTTTAATAAAATGAGAAATTTCGCCGGTCTATTGAAGCCGGTCGTTTGTACAATAAAACAAGTAGGACGCCAAGTGTTATTTTTGTTGAATAATGAAAGACTAATAAAAGTATTAACCAGAAATTGCTCTCTTCAAACTGTAAATTATAAATGATCCTGAGAGAATATTCACTGTGTTAAGGATTTCCCTGCTGTACTGCTGTACTGATAGCTCTATACAAGAGAGGAAGGGCGATTCTCTTTTAATTTCCGTTTCGCTGACAGAGCTTTAGCAGAATCCGCGTCTTCCGCCATTTTGTTCTGCGTCAATTCGTGAAGGACGCGTGCCTCTTAGCGTGGGTCATCCACGCGGAACACATTCGCGCTATGTGATTGGCTGTTGTCTAATCCCCCTTGGGATCTGTGGTGTTAAAAATAAGTCGAGACGAATTACCTATGACATAGGGTGTGTATGGGGGATGCCCTCTCTGTCCCCTTTATCCTCTCTTGATGTAAGTTAAGTTAATATAACAGCACGAAATGGCCTTTAATAGAGACGCTTTTAACACTTTGAGAGGTTTTCAACCTTTCAAATTAGAATTATAAGTTCGTGACAGAATTTGAAAGGATAAAATTCATGCATAATTGACTACATTACTTCATATATATATATATATTGACGTTGCATGCAGTTTTCGTATTCCAATCTTGCATAGTAAAGTAACACGTGTTTTTTAAGTCATGCCATCTTTCTACTTTTTTCTCGGTTTTACAATCCTAGGCACGGTTTGTTTACAGTGGGCGAATAGCGCCCAACCCGACGTAGAAACCAATCTCGATTTTGCCTCCATTCCGGGTCATTTGGAAGAGCTTGGCGCGAAGAACACAAAACGTTCTGTCGAAGTGATTCAAAGTTTTCCAGACCCTGAAACATTTTTCAGAACATACGTGGATGGAAGTAAACCAGTTCTGATCCAAAATGGAGCAAAAATGTCGTCGGCATTTGAAAAATGGACGGATGAGTATTTCTTGTCGCTTCCCGAATCGAGCGAGCACAAAATCCGGGCGGAACAAAGAAAGAAGGAGAAGAGAGCAGTTCATCCAGAGGAAATGTCCTTTAGTGATTTTGTCAAGACGTACACGGAAAAGGATATCTATATGGTCAGCAGTGTTCCTGAATTTATAAGGTGGGTTATTGAATTAAGTTTTGTTTAAAAATCCTTATAAAGGAGTTGATTTATGCGTTTTCACTAAGTTGAATGACGAGCTATTGTTGCACTCTGCTAATATCATCGTTTACAGTTGACTGATTTTGTAGTAATATTTTCCGTTTAGTTCCAATAGGGTCACTTCTGTAGGGTCACTTTTGTGCTAAAACTTAAGTTGGGCCAACTTTTTAAAGTTTAAGTCCATGTCCATCCTTACCATCTGTAGCACAAGCAAACAGGAAGAGTTTCAATGCCTACAGTTAGCCTATAAAACAGCCGATATTTCGCGACGCTACCACTGGTTTCCCCGCGACTGAATGACGACTGAGAAACGAACGCAGAAATTCCATACTGATGACGCGTCACTACCCAGATCTGAGTAGTGCATTTGATTGGTCGTGCCGCGTGAGAAGTTTGCTTCAATCAATCAGAAGCACTTCCCAGATCTGGATAGTAACACGTCAATAGTATGGAATTCTCCGCTCGTTTCTCAGACATCATTTCGTGGGGAAACCAGTGGTAGAAATGTCGGCTGTTTTCTCAGACTGAAATATAGTCTAAAATAACAAAAGTGGACCATTATTTTTGGATGCCAAAACACTTTTTAGCTTTTTTGAAAGATAGCAACATACACCGAAATAGAAGTTAGGCCACCGCTCAACCTCTCGTGGTACTAACTGTTCACATATCCCTCAGTTACGGGTTACATATACAAAACGAGAAATTGACTTTTTTCACAGGGTGTTTTACGATCCTAAGGGCTCCAAACGTCCTTTTCCAAAAACGCTAAGATGCGAAAATAAACCACCTCCGCAGTTTTGCCTCATTGTTGGGTAGTTATAGCACAAGAGCACTTTAATTAGAAAAAAAACACTTAACCTTTTTTCCGCGTTAGTTTGTTCAGTGTATTCATTTACGTCTGTATTCAATCATGTGTGTATTTCTAGTCTAGCAACTAGACATAAGCGCAGTAAAATAATCCTTGATCAACAATGATTATGGTCCAGAGATGCAAGTAAGACCAAGTAATGGCAAATCCAGCAAAAAATGGCCACGGGGTTGGCGTAAGTCCAAAATTCAAATAAAATATTATTGCACGCAATAGCAAACATGGCAAATGTCTCGAAAAAAGAAGCAGATTCCTCTGCATGAAATTTGCCGTGCTTGGCTTGGGGCAAAAGGCAGTAATTACTTTTTTGTTTTTATATCATGTAGGAAAGATGTAGTACTTCCTCCCCCTCTGTTGTGCAGAGATATCACAGAAGCGGACATGATAGCAGACGCGGTAAGTAATAACCAGTTGATATCAGTGTAATATAACAATATGCATTATATATGTATCATCCCATAGCTGCCACCTGCCCAAGTGATATGGTTGTGCGCGTGCGTAAGGTATTGGCCAACAGGGGATTTGCGCGGCTGTGTAGTGTGACCATTTGGACCAAGGGTAAGGGAGCTTAAGGGGTTGGACCTCCGTGCGAAGCCTTTCCGTATAATTTTTTTGTTTATCCCCCCGGGCTTATTGAACTCTTTCAGTGTTATTGTCCTTCTTACAGTATATTCTCTCTGATTACAGGTGATGTGGTTTAGCAGTGGAGGAACCAAATCTGTCTTACACCTTGACGATGGACTTGATAATATCAACTGTTTGTTCAGAGGGACTAAGGAACTATTATTTATTGATTACCAAAAGTACAAACACGTGGTACGCTAACTCATTTAACATCGTATTTTATATACTACATTTACAATACTCTAGAATGGCTCCATAGCCTGACCCTGATAGCCAGAGGGAGGCGCTATTTAGTCCAATGGGCCATTTCCGAGTTACCCTAGCCTTTGTTTCAAAGCGAGGCTGAGTAAATGAGTTTTTAATTCTCATGCAAATAAAAATCATTTTCCCAAGAAAGGTTTTACGTTTAGCCTCGTCATGAGAGTTTTTGGAACTCGGAAATGGCCAATTCCCCCTCCCACGTTGAGTACTTCTAAAATAACTTCCCAGCTCGTTCTGATATAGGCTTTCAAAAAAGTCCTTCGTTCGATTCTGCGTCGCTCGGTTGACCGCTTCGCGGCCTAAAGAGCTCGCTCCGCTCGCTAAGAAACTCGTGAGGTCGACTTGTAGCAAGACTAGGGACCTTAAGCAACGACGACGACGACGGCTGTTAAAACGTCGCTAAAAAAATGAATTTGCAATCTTTGAAAGTTGATCGGACGCCATCTACCGTCGACGCCATAAGTGGATTTAGTTTGTTGTTGGTTCTCTTCTTTGATTGCTC